AAAAAAAAAATTAAGTATAGTTTGCTGCTTCAGTTCATCCATATTCAAATAAGTTCCACTTTGTAATGTCTAATGAGATTTAGGCAATATCCTAGATTATTTCGACCTTAAGTGTTTGTTTTAAAGTTGGGGAAGTTTTTAAAAATCACAAGGTTTGTTCCGAAATTCGAATTTTGCTGAAAACCACAATGTGGTTGGCACAAGAATAAATAAAACAACTGAAGAATACAATCCTGATTAGAACTGCCTTCTTCCTGAACAAATCCATTTTTTATTAAGAGTGTGCTGGGATAAATAAGACAGGTCTATTAATTTTAAAAGTATTGTAATAATTCGATAACTGCTTTTTTAAAGATTCAATATTTGAAGAGTCAAATAATATCCAGAATCAACATTGAAAGAAACATTGTGATTTTCAGATCAACTTTCCAAACTTTCAACAAACACTGAAAGTCCACTTAAACAAGAGAAGATTGAAATGGAACATAAGTTTACTGTTTTTACGAATGCACTCGAATAAGTTCAAAACACAAATTACGATGAGACAAATGTTCATCAACGTCTTATTAATCCTTTAATGAAAACATCCTCCAAATGAATACCGAAACATGAAAGATGACTATAAGAAAATACTCAATCGTGAATTATTTAAAATTAATATAGTCACATGTCTTATTTGTAAGTTTGGTTTGTAATAAAAACCACCTCAATCTTCTCAATGTTTAACTGATATAACAAAGCCAACATTTTCTGACTTGCTTTGAGAATTATAAACTTTCTGTGATCAGTGGCAACAGAAAACTTAATCAAACAATCGAGGAATCTGAAATATTCGTCAAGTTGAAATAGTGGTGTAATAATAGAATAAAAAAAGTGCAATTATTGTGCACTCACCATATTTAGGTGTAAAGATTGCATTTATTACTTTTGTTGTATTTTGTGTCATAAGTAACATGGTCATACTGTTTTTGCAATAATCTGCTGGAATTTTTGAAACCATTGATCACAGGCAAGATCATACAATGTTCAAAACATTTCATGTAAGATAAGACAGGAAAATATTAAGACCTTTTATATACTTTCCAATGACTATGTTCATTTTTGTGATGAAAAACACTTCAGCCAACAACTTGAAACATTCTTTGAAATTGCAAAACACATCTAGAAAATTTAAAAAACTCACTATTGAGAACATGAAAGAAATTAATATATATATAAATTAATATATATATGCCAAAGAAAATTGTCCAAGAAATAAAGGTTAGAAATAATTAGAAAAAAAACCATTTACCTCTAATTCAGGATCTTGGAAAGTGTCCATTTTTCATAATCACAAGTCTTGCAACATTCTTGGAACTTGCACTGTACATCTACAAAAATTGATGAGAATTTTACTGAGGGTGTGAATAGCTTGGCTAGCAAGATGAAAAACTCAATACGAACATCGGAGTCTGAAACAAAACAATATCCTATGGTTCTGGTTTTCCAGCCAACCCTACTCTCTCTTTAGATAATGTTTTTTCTAGATGTGGGTTGTTTTCTTACTTGCCTACCCTACTTTTTGTTGTTTGCTTTATGATGTAACTTAAATAACCTGTGATGTAACAAAAATACTGTCTGTAGCCCACAGTTACTGCTTCTTGAAATGTTTATATGTTGTTGACCGTCAAAAGCCAGAAAAATATTTGAAGAAAATTTGTTTTATTTGAGCCACCTATCCTACTTTTTTCAGGATATGAAACCTGAACCACATATTTTTTGTAAATTATGTTCAAAGTTGATCAGAAAAATGCAGACCAATTGGAAATGTTACAATTTGATTGGAATTTTTTTTTTCAACTTCATTTTGATTTCAGGCATCTGCTGCCCCAATAAATCAAGTTAATCTGCATTTAAATTTATCAAATACTGTCCTTTTTATTTTTTTAGCATTCTTTGAATCCTTGCCAGCCCATGTCGAAAAAAGGATTTACAAATTACAACTGCTACTGGTGCACATTTTTGAGCCTGGAGTAAATGTGCTTCAAAAGAACAATCTTTTTTCAAACCACCCTCAGCCTGCAACATTTACTAGCCCCACCTAACTATGACCATACCTCCTAGCTTTTCACTAAAGAAATACAATTCTGGCTTTTGCCTTATTGTAGCAATTAATTTTCATTTAGTTTTATTTGTAATTACTGTAATGCGCGAATCAAATCGAAACCTTGACATCCCCCCTCCCCAAGCATACCTGGGGAATTTGTAAGGGGGTCGGGAAGTTGAATTTTTCTTTTGAACATGTGTGCCACGCAACATCAAAGTGCCTGGGTATAAGGCTGCATGTGTGCTGAATCCAAAATGGTGTCAATGGGTTGACTGAAAGAAAACGGCTTTGAACGATTGAAGAGTGTTTTTGAAGGAAAGAAAAGCTTTGTAATTCCAAAATTACGAAATGCTGTAGCTACCAATTCGTACATGGGGTGGTGTATTTGAACTCCAATTTGTATATGAATGGGAAATATTACAAATATATGTAGGGAATTTGACCTGACCAAGATGTCAAAATCCAAATTCCTGGGGGTATGCCCGGGGCAGTTGTTGGCCCGAGTGGAACTCGCACCTTCAGGTATCTAGACCGCCGCTCTACCGCTCTACCTATTGTGGGGTATTTGATCATGAATTGCATCCCCACCCTGGGGATTTTGATTAGCATTTTGGCCCTGAGTTGGGGCAATTTGAACCAAATGACTGTTATTATATAGTATTTATTGCAATTTATTGCAAAATGGTGGGGCATTTGACCAATATTTATTGCCCGACGATGGGGCATTTGATTGAAAATTTGCTCAAAAAATCAAATGCCTCACCTATGCCCGACCCTCTGGGGCTTAACATTGATAGGTGCATAAATATTGAACCAAATTGCCTAAATTTGTCCATAGGAAATAGGCATCTCTAGTTAATATTGATGTCGGGACTCTACTGCAAATCGCCCAGCAAAAAACCGCCAAAACCATGAAAAAATATTAAAAAAAAAATTTATTTCCGACCTACCGACCCTAATTTTTTCACGATATGAAACCGGAACCACAGGTATTTTTTTTTACGCCCAAGCGAGGAGTCTCTGTATGACTGTATGCGGCTTTTAATATAAAAATTTTCGGCAAGAATCCAGAGATACTAACGCTTGACGAAGGGCCTTCACTCGAAACGTCGAGTTTCTGCTTGTTTCTTCAGGTAGTAATATAACCACTCAGCACAGCATTTTCACAATGGTACTACCTACACTGGTACAGACAGTTTTTATAGTATATACTCAGAGATAACAACTTCTTTCGACAACTTACACAATTCTAGATCTTAGTCAGTCTTTTTCTCACTTGTTCAACAATAAACACGGTTTAAAGTTCGACAATCGCTTATATTGTTATAGAAAATCGAACCATTTGCAAAGCAAAAGCACAAACTTTATGCCGAAATATCGCATTAAATTTGGGCTACATGTCCTAAATTTCAATCTATATTGGCAATCTAAGCACTCTACTATAAGGTTTGATATTAAATAAAGCATATTACCTTCCAATAAAGGTATAAAGTTTTGATAAAAAATGCCCTCCATTTGTTTCTCCATTCTTCACCACGCGGTAAAACTTAAAATTCGGAAAAGCCCGGCACTTCTTCGGGATCTCGGGACTGTACGATGCAAGTCGACAAATTCCGAGCTATTTTAAAATGACAGGGGTACCGGTCTGGGCCACTGCACTGAGCTCAGTGCGTCTGGGCCTCAGTATGGCCTCAGTGGTATCAATCATAGATATAGGAGAAGGGTTAAGGGTGCCACCCTTAACCTGCGAACGGGCATGCTCGGGGAACGAGATTGGAGGATCGCAGACTCGGGGAACGAGATTTGGATCTCATTCTCGTACCCAGAGCCCTTCTTACGCGCGGTGCGACGAGGGGCTCTGGCCAAATCCATAACCGGATACCATAAAAACATGATAAGAAAACAATGTCCGGTGTTAGAACTAGCCAATCAGATGCCAGTTCGGAATATGGATTTGGCCAGAGCCCCTCGTCGCACCGCGCGTAAGAAGGGCTCTGGGTACGAGAATGTTTGGATCTTTGAAATCATCCTCGTTCCCAGGGCTTGTCGGCTGCCTGTGTTTCTAGGCCTAGGGACTAGGCTGTGTGTTTCTTATAAAATAGGGAACGGAAAATGCGGGAATGAAGGGAATGAGGGAATGCCAGAGGGGAATGCTATAACTTAATTAAAGTGCCTATATCATGGTTTTGGAGTTTGCATATATCTAGAAAGTTTAGGGTATTAATTTTAAGACACTTTGCAATATATTTTGTTTTCGAAAAATTTCATCTTCATGGATTTATTAGCTCTTAAAGTTACCGGACATGACGTCAAAAGGAGAATTTTGTTGCAATAATACAAAGGAAAACTGATTTGCAATTCTCCTTTTGACGTCATGTCCCGTAACTTTAAGAGCTAATAAATCCATCAAGATGAAATTTTGAATAACAAAGTATATTGCAAAGTGTCTTAAAATACCCTAAACTTTCCAGATATGCAAACTCCAAAACCATGATATAGGCACTTTAACTTATGACATGCATTGAAAAATATGCCATGAACGTCTTTTGTTGTTTCAGAGTTTAACTCGTACTCGGTTTTTTTAGAAAGCCCCAAAGCAACTTTTAAAAAATGTCTGCAGAAATGACCATAACAAGCTTTACACAAGCTGTGCAAAATTGTCAGCCTAGATTTCTCACGTTTTCGCTGCCATATTTGTGAAGATTATACCATAATTGGTAAAAATGAGAATTCTCGATTACTTCTGGCCCTATACGGAGTTTTCGAGTTGCATATATTTTATACATTACAAGAACAAACATCTAAGCATAAGTTAAGCCTATAAATGGAAACAAGACATTTCACAAGAACATTTTGTCCGCTTTGACTGTAAATTACAGTCACACTAAAAGTTCTCATGGGTAAATTTCTGCTGAAAACTGATATGCCAATCACCTGCAAAATTGCCAACTGAATATATCAAACGTCGAACTTTCATGCGTCAAACCCAATGCAAATAAAGTGAGACAAAGAACTTAGCTCATTAACATTAGGTTCGGCGCATGAAAAGTTCCACGTTTGACCCCAGCCTAATTTTATTGTTTCGCCTTAGCAATATGCCAAGTAATGCACGCAAGTTGTTGCTATTGAGTCTGAAATAAAAATGATGAAAATAAAGAATCCCATTTCTATGAAAGCAAATATTGGCTCTTGTAGTTGTACGCGTATTTTAGGAACATTATTTATTTTATGTTTGCGATGTTACTCTGAGTGCATATCCACACCGGGCGAGCTTGAAAAATATGCCCGGCCACGGTGGGATTCAAACCTACGACCTTTGGAATACTAGCCCAATTACTTATTTATTATGTTTGAAGTTACAGTCCTTGGGTTGTGTCCATCGGAAGAAATATACCTGTTATATATTTATAACATTGTAAAAATGAAAAAGCATAAAATAGCCATTTTAACGTCAAAAATTGTTAAGAATTCTGAGAAGAATGTCTGCTTGGTAATTTGAAGAATAAATGTTCAACCTAACATATAATTAACCTGTGCGCACGCGTGCTCCCGACACGTGCCTTGAACATATGGAAGCGAACAAATATAAATACAGCAGGTCGAAGACGTGACCATTTAGTGCAAACTGACTGATAAGCTTAGAGGATCAAACGTTTCCAACAAGTCTGGTTGTGCTTATCTATCACGGAACATGTCTTTTGAAAGCAGTACAACATTGTTGCAAGAGACGACGTGTTTGGGTTTGGAAAATCGTCCAGCGCATCTTTCTACGGATTCCACAATGCGAGACGGACAAAAGACGCGCTTTTATGTCGAATTGGAAGAGAAATGCAAACGCCAGGCTGCCAAAGAAGTGAGCGAGCTCAAAGCAGCGGATGAACGGAAAGATGAGAGAGAGAGCGGTCATGATCTTACAGTCGCGCGTGTTCCAAGGTATCTAAAAGAAGAGAACATTTCGAGGATTGAGAATTACTTGTCTGAATATTACATGGAAACTGTTTATCAGAGACTTTGGGAGAAAGCACAGAATGCCGTGTTTGGAGCAGAATGCATGAGCTGAGCACATCATGCACGTAACGAGTTAAGATCACCTTGAAGATCACCAGTGAGGTAGCTGAAAGTCGTTGACATTTTATGCTGAACTTGGATTATTGGAAATCCTGAATTTAACCTGCATGCCTGTCATCTTCCAGCAATGCAGACAATGAACAGTTGAACTATTCCCAAAACATACTATATCTGCTATGAGGAAACATTTGAACTTTGTGTGAAAAACATCAACAACATAGATTACAATGTAAATATATAAATGTAAATATAGATTTCAATAAAGATTAAATATGTTTGATTTGATTCCTGTGAGTGTTCTATATAGTAAGTTGTCTAGTGATAAAAGCTAGGATGCTTCGAGCAAAGAAATTTCGTCACCAGAAGACAAATGAAAGTTCTTCGTTGCATAGAAGTCACAACATCCAAAACAAATACACATTTAAATAAACAACATCCAGTTTTAGTCGTAAGGTTAACTCATCCAAAAGGTTTAGCTAAACGTGTATAAATATTAGGCCTATAGAGTATAGGCTAGCTTTGTGATGCACTTTTCAAACTGTAATTTGTCATGCATATCAACTTTTGTAAAGAACGGTTGCATACGTGTAAATATATTCATGGCAATTATTAAAGGACATGTTTGAATTTTCCAATTTCATAAAGTGGCAATGCTTTCGCGCAACAATTAGTTTGATGTTTGGGTATTTTTACAGCTGTTCCTCTGCCCCAAACGTCCTGAGGTTTTCTTCAAAACAAGGAACGAAGCACAAATATAAAAGCAATTCAGAAATGGATAAACTGAAATGCATGAAGAAGAACGGTTTTAAACACAGAAACAAGGTTAATGAATCATGACAAAGATCGAATAATTTAATTCTGCAAATAAAACGCTCATTTACAGCTGTCTGTAATTTGAATAATTTCTAATCAACGCTTTCTAGGGACGTGCAATTATTATTTTGCATGTATTTGCCGTGGCAGGGACGTGTAGGATTTTTATTATACCAATATTTCAACGGAAAATGTTCTGTGTGTGCTGATTTTCAGGGAGGTCTTGCATACTGAATATATGACATACATAGAATAAGAAATATATAGAAACTGTCACATATCACAGACAAACGAGAACTATGTAATAGTAATATAGAAAAATGAAAGTAGAAATATATTGAAAGATTAAACTAGTTCAGTAGTTGACTACATGAATGTTAGTTTCCAAATTATTGCAATCTTTGACCACAATGAAAAGCAAACCGTTAAACGCCCAGTTCGTGCCCGTACGTGGAAGATGACTATCCCGTTGCTTGGTAAATAATTACAATTTAAGCTATTTCCTGTACTACGGGGGCTTGAAAGTGACGGGGGGAGGCTGACACAGTCCCTCATCCGTACGCGCGGTCGTGATTAAAGTTTTATCGCATTCCCATTAGCCCAGCGCCATTCTTCTCCCACTGATCTCTATTCTAAACTGAAGGGACGAGGCAGGTGGAAATCTGATTCTAATTTAGATCCAACAGATATAATTATTGGCATGTTCGATAACAATCATCAAAAGAACAGTTGTACCATGAAAATTCTCATCACTAAGATAGTAGATCACTTTTATTCCCTTGGATCAAATTTAAATTCAAGGCTTAAATATATACAAGACAGTTACAATTCTTTAACAGATCTTTTTAAAAAGCTACGTGGGCTGCTGCAGTGTGATCAACCTTGCCTGTAGTATTTATAAGTGATATTTGCACTTAGTTACGTATTACATAAGATGTTTACATAAATTTACATTTATATATAGAATTCAGTACAAATTTAGGATGCTGTACAAATTTTAAGAGTTTAGTTAGCATAAATATTATCTGCTCCAGCCTGTTTCAAAATTCATTGCATAATACTTTCGCCTTTGGAACCACAAATGAGCAGTTGTTGTTACATCAGGCTATTAATCATCAGCCCCCAATCTCACCCACGTACCGCGGACAAAATGTGGAAATATTATATCAACTTACATAATTACACTGATTGTTTGGGTTTCGGCCTGAAATGAGACTCTCTCAAATGTTCTCTTTTACAGTCGATACTGTTTTACGAGCATCTCTTGGATAAGAGCATTTCCTAATATCCCAACATACATAATTCTCATATACTTTCATTTTCTAAAGCATGCTTTACACTATCAAAGACATGCAAAGTTTCTGCATGTGATCACAGTAGTAATTTTGCATCGGTAAATTTTATGTTTTGAAGGATTAGCAAGCAACGTTTGAGCAAACTGACTTGATGTTATACTGAATCAGTTTCCTGAAACATTTCTTATAAATCCTTCAAAACTTAAAATTTACCTATGCAAAATTCCTACTGTGATCACAGAAACTTTGATAGTTTAAACCAAGCTTAAAATCTCCACAAAACAGACATCTCTCTAAAGGCCCGTTTACAAGAGCGATTTTTACTGCAATTTTAGGATTTTCTCATTTTGGAGGATGTGAAGGAGTAGATTACTTAATGATGTTGTTATGAGATTTCATAACCTGGAACTTCTTATAACTAATCCACTCCTTCACATCCTCCAAAAGAAGAAAATCGCACCTAAAATCGTCCGTATAAATTGCATCATGTGTCTGACGGATCATCAGTCTTAGTGGAAATACAAGAAGAACTAGAACAACGCAATATATACTGGCATTGGTTCTGGGAACAAATCTTGCCAAATATTTTCCTAATAGTGTGTCTAATGGCGTATTTTTACACATGGGCGATCATTCACCTCAACTCAAACTACACACACAAGTCAAGTTCACGTGTGAATGCGCCATGTAACAATTAGTCGCCGATGACGAGGTGATTGCAAATAGTCTTGTGAATCACCGAACCGGAGGCGACTAATTGTTTCGGTATAATTTCAGTATTGAAAAAGTTTTATTTATAAATACAACTAATACACGTGTTTATTTATTTATATAATTTGCATAAATAATGTACTTCCGTCTGATTTTCAGCCATTTTTTTGGAAAAAGCAGTAGTTACTATAGTATACTGCTCAGAGCAGTCTGAGCAGTAACTATTGCCTCAGAGTTACTGCCTCAGAGGGAGCCAATAAGAATGCTCAAAGGCCATTTTTCAACACTGAAATTATACTAAAAACAGGTAGTTCGCCTTGACGGATGTCTGTTTGCAAAGTTCACACACGCATACAAACGAATAAGATGTATAAAATCTTCAACTTGCTAGCTTCTGCTTTGCGTCCAGACTGGTCCAGTAAGCTTGCTCCTATCTGCGTCGACCGCTGACAAGAAAGATCGACTCAGCACTCGAATAGGCATGACGTCATTTCTTCTTATGCACATTCTCTTGACAGAGGCACGGAGTTCTTTTCTGAATTTTAAATTTAACATCGGATTGATAACCACGCTTAGATGAAGTATAAGGCTAGAGATAGCGTCAATGAGTGGCGAAGAACGGACCGGGGTGACTTGTAGGGACCTGGTGACTAGGATAGGAAGCCAACAGATTAAGTATGTGCTTATAATCCAAAATACCATGCCAGCAACTCTTCTTTCTTGCGCTGAAAAGGAAAAACGAAATATTGTAACTACTTAAGAGCCGGTTCCCCTTATTGCGTATTCTGAATACAACTACCAGCATGCTTTTCGGACGTGTTATTGCATAATGAAGAAAATACCCGCAAAGTATCATGGTAGTTATATTCAGAATACGTAATAAGGCTATTGATATCAGAATATAAATACGAGGTGTGTCGATAAGTTGGTTTCACGAAGCACTATGGGGCAGCAGATGATGGTCAACCTGCAGTTATATCAGAATGAGAAAATAATTATTTTCATTACATATGTGGTAGTCTAGAAATGGAATTCAGAGATGAAGTTTCATTTTCTTGCTCCTCTAACTGGCACCATTTCTCAAGGTGACCACCAGCTGTAACGTTTACAGAAGTCCACAAATTCGTGGCTTTCATTAATCGTTGTATGCAGGTACCACACATGATGACCAACTTTGATTATGCAACCTATGGAAGAAAGCGTATTATGCTAATTGTTTCCATTGCCAGCACACAACTCAAGGTTAATAGGTGAACATTTGAAAACCGTTCTTCTTGGAGTTGGTCATCATCAACATCATTAGCTTCTGGAGTTTCTCACTCATTCATGAGCGGATTGCCCAACAGGCTTTTGCGCAATCGATAGGGGATCCGAGGTATCTACGATTTTAACGTCCTTATCGGAGAAGACGTCTAACCATTTAGTTACTGAATGATGTCAATGGAAAGGTAGCACTTTCTCCTCAATTATTTTAAGACCTTGAGTAGAGGTCCGACCAAGGATTGAACTCAGGTCTCCCAAACTTGAAAGGCAAGCGTGGTGATCGTGCACGATACCACGCGTGCTGGTTTGTCATGAAATGCAAGACTGCATGATTAGTGCTTAGTGAAACTCCTGAACAAAAACTTGCAAACCTACCTTGTCTGGTATGAACTTTTCCCGCATGGACACGATCAGTAACATTCAACTCTCTGTCAAGCTGATTCATTAAATTACGATTCTGTTTCCGCAACGAGGCGACCAAATTCAAATTTAGGACCATTAGCAACACAAACGGTAGCAGTATATGAGTGGCGGCGACAAAAACGCTCACTCCCATATGATCATCCCAAACGATGCTACAAACGGCTGAGAGTTTATTGTATCCCACACCGACTACGAAGCCAAATATAAACGAAAATGCTGCTGCGTGAAACCAGGTATAGACGATCATCAGTCCAATGCATTTTGCAGTCATTTTCGACTTGTATTTCAGAGGTTCACGTATTGCATAGAATCGATCAATGCTTATACACACCATGGTAGCGACAGTGACGATATAAAATGGATAGGTTAGTACACCAACAGTTTTACACCATGGTCCGTCCTTTCTTGCCAGACTCGAGTTGGTGCAGTGAACGACAAGTTGTAAAGGAATCACGATTACCGCTGTGAGAAGCTCGCTCAGAGTCATGTTTATGAGCAGTAAGTTTGATGGTTTTCTACGAGCTGAAGGCGAGGTTAGGTAACCAAGTAAGACTAGAATGTTAGCTGGTACAGAGAGAACCAAAATGAAGGTGGTTAAAGCGACTAAAGCCGATACTTCTTCGTGGGAATAAACGTGGATGGAAGTTTCGTTCAAAGTCATTCTTCTTCACTTTGCAGAGACTTGAAGTATTTGCTACGAGTGGACTGCAACTATTGAATGGACTATAGCTTCATCTTCAAATATATTTGCTAGCAATTGCCAATTGATTAAAACTGCATCATTGTCTGCAAATCAATCCCTTTGGCCTGCCACTATTTGAGAATAGACCACTAAATACAGATATAACAAATTGGAACAGATTCAATTGTGATTTCCAACCGTTTGAAGGAACTTGCCTTACAATACAATACTATATATATACCATATAGTAATAGCCAATTGATTACAGCATCACTCTTTGTAAGAACAAATTAATCCCCTTGGCATTACATGATAGATCACTAGAAACTTTCACTTTCAAATGCGAATTTCACATTGATAACATTCTCTATATTATAACATTCTCCACGTACAGATACCAAAAACGAATAACCAATATCATTCACTGTTTTTGATTACTGATTGCTTTATCATCTCAGCATAGATACGAGCAATTTTATGATTTGTGCAAACTCTCAAACGTTCGGCACAATCAAGGTGTTTACACAGCTTTAACCTCGGACAAAAGAAATTTCCATTTGCAATAAAGCATGAATTTCTTAATGTGTTACGATACGCAAACTTTTGCTACAATTTAATCAAGGGTGGCATCGGTTAATATCCAATCATTTGCATCAAATTAAAGCCAGTTTGGCGACATTAAACTACTGTTAGCATTCCCAAAAGCGTGGTATTATATATTTATATAATAAAAATAATCTGAATATATGATCGTTGTACATATATACGAAACGATTATATCATAATTGCTTAAAAGTTTTTTATGAATCAGATTTGTTGTGACATTTGTGATTGTTCTAGAGTGGTTATGCATGATTCATGTATTAATAATAAATGCGTTCTTTATCGCTGCAAGAATATAATTATTGTTATTAAACGAGAACGATTTGCACTGATTAAATCAAGCAAAATAATTACATAAATGCCACTGAAATTGGCGTTGTCATGGACGAGCAAATTTGTCTTGGCCATTTTCTTGGACACTACGTAATGGCAGTTCTTCTCAAACCGTCACATTTGTAATGTTCGGTTTCCGCGCATCACCGATTCAGGATCATCGGCAGCATCCTAGTGTGTTTTTTAGGGGCGTAGCCAGTCCCAAACGAATGGGGAGGCTTGATTGTCCGGGGGTCTGGAAAATGTTTCTATTTTGGGGTGTGGGAAATGTTATGTCGTGCATTTTCGACACATTTTATGATAATCTGGAAGACACAGATTTGGTATATTTTATGTCATAGATGAAACATTCCAAGGTTACACTCTCACAGTTTCTCCTCAGTTAGTTTTGAAACAATTACAAAATCAGTCCTGAAGAAAAGTGGGGAGAGGGGTCCGGCCTCCTCCATTCCCCCCGTGGTTACGCCTCTACAAGGGACCATATCTCTGCGAGCGGATATGCCGAGGTTAACCATTAATGCACTACGAGATCCCCAGAGTCTAATCATCCACGTTTTCAGATTTCGGTCGCACAAAGATTCTCGTATTGTGACGAGTATATTCCGAAACACGAGTGAAGCCAAGATTCAATCCTCCTGTTGGAATTGTGATGCTCTCATTTCTTCGTCTTCGTATTAAACGTTCTATGGTGGCTCTGAGGTCTTTTCTAAACACAAGATTAAGTGAAGGGTCGATAAGCACACTCAATTGCAAGCTTATTGTTGCTATGGTGCTTGTCAGCGCTGACGTAGGCTGGGATAGCATCACCCATAATCCTCTGGTGACTAGATACGGTAGCCAACATAATAGGTACGTGCTTATTATCCAGAATACGAGAAATGTGATGCGACGTTCTTGAGCTGTTAAAATGAAATGAAATATGTCAACTTGATGTTTTCATTTACATCTTATATCAGGGTTCGTAGTCTCCAAGACCAAAAAAATTCAAAGACTTTCAAAGATTTTTTCTGCCTATTTTCAAAGACTTTTCAAAGACCTTTGAGAGCAATCAGCTGTCGAAAAATTGCGAGTGTAAGCACCATTTTTACCCAGTAATTAGTCCCTTCAAATCACATCCTAAAATGCACTTTATCGTCGATATTTGCGAAAATCTTGCTTCAATCAATCTATTTTATTAGCTAGGAAATCGTATAATCAAATAGTCACTAAAGAATTTAAAGACTTTTAAAGACTTTCTTCGCTTTTTCACACAATTCAAAGACTTTTCAAAGACCTTAAAGACCTGCATTCAAGGATTTCAAAGATTTCAGAGACCGCTACGAATCCTGTATATTTACTAGCCTGTGTACAGCTGTTACTCACTCTCTCGCGCTTCGTCGAGAGTAACGGCTGTACACAGGCTAATATTTACTAGAAATTTAATTAGACTAGTGAGAATCTCAAACTATACGGACACATCAGTCAACTGACAACAGAATATTCTACGAATTTTTAATACAACAGTATATGACATACGTCACAGACTCACGGTGATTTGTTGTCTAAATTAAAATTTAAATTAAAAGATTATTTGATTTATAGACATATAGTTCATTAAAGTTGCATTTACGCACATCTTGAGAGGTGACAAAAGCTATATAACATAAAACGTTCAAAAACACAAAACGTGTTCCAGTGAAGGTATACTATATGTTTAATTTAAAGAAACAGTATCAAAAAAAAATCCAACAGATCTAGAAAACTATAAAAAATATAACAAACTCCAAATATAAAACTCCAACAAGGCATCATGTTGTGAAGTAATTATAAAATCCTAAATTGTATATTATTTTACACCAATTTTAATATTGTTTTTAAGTTTTTCTGAATTTGTTTTTCAACATTGCGCTCACACCTGCCCCAATTAAGATATTATTTTTCTTTCGTTTCACGTAACTATTCATAACATTTTAGTTCTTATCAAAGTTTGTGTATAGAAAAAATGATCCAAAAGATACGGAAACGTCTAAAACTTGTAGATAAGGGAAAAATTTCTTCCAATTTGTTCGGGGATACATTCATTAATTTAGGGCTGGTTTTATACACTATCAAAGTGAACACAGTAGGAATTTTGCAGTGAGAACAGACTGTCAACCAGGCTTTATTCAGAGTAACAAGTCTAAATTATTTCAATCACCTTGCACTTACCTTGCCTTGCTTTCCAGATTTGATTCTGTCTGTAATCCAGGCTATTTACAGCGATACGATTCTGGCGCTTTAGAGAGACCACGAGATTGATATTCAGGCCCAGAAGTAGAAAGAACGGTAGAACTATGTGAGTGATTGCCCCCACGCCGCTCACAGTCATGTTGTTGTCCCAGAGGATACCACAGACACCCATCTGAGGGTTAAACCCGATGCCGAGGGAGAAACCAAATCCGAAGACGAACGCACCAGCATGGAACCATGTGTAGGTTATCATGTAAGCAATCCGGTTCCCGCTGATCTTAAATTTATAGCTCAATGGAGCTCGAATCGCGTAATATCGATCCACTGAGACACAGATCATGGTAATAATGACAGCCGTGTAGAATGGATAGGTTAAGATCCCCACTAACATACAAAGTGCACCACCATCGCTTATTAAACTCGGTTTGATATGAACCAGTAGTTGGAGGGGAATGACTACCAAAGCCAATAGTAATTCGGAGATTGTGAGGTTGACCAGTAAATAGTTTGCAGGCTTCTTCAGCGCGCTAGATGTCTTCAGGTAAGCGAGAAGAACTAAAATATTGGCAGGGATAGCAAGCAGAAGTAGAATTGCAGTGATTGTAGTAATGATAATTAATGCTTCCTCGGTGAATGTTTCAAAATAGCTTCCATTATTCACTTTCACATTCGAGAAAATTAAGGCTGCACTCATGTTATTTTCCATTGTTAAACGTTAAAGCTTACTATTACAAACGCAGCGTACTGTTGAAGAACACAGCTTATGCGGTTTCAAAAATGTAGCATATAAAGTCCAAGTATTTATATCGTTTGGCTCGCTAACAACTCTGACACGCAACGAACAAAAAATTTATTACTCCCTCGCAAACTTCGGATGACAGTCCTGTTTGCATTGTACAACTCAAACGACCACTCACAGAGCTGGAACATCACGTATAATAACACAAGTGGAAAAAACCCGCCACGCATTGCAAACAAAACTTCGTGACGTTTACGTCAATGCCATTTGGGAAAAATTTCATTAAAATGAAGACAGTAAATTAAAAGCAAAGTATTCGAAGCAACTTGCAACGAAAACTGATTTCAATGCATGTTAATTAAAGATGTTCAGACAAAAGTTGCAAAACATGATACGTCAACACTTCTATTTAACATTTCTTAAAGTCAGTTTTTGTTGCAAAGCAACTTTGTTGATCTTATATTATTTCAAATAGACGTTTCCGTTTGGTATTAAATTAAAATCTCCTGAGTTAAAGACATTTATGGATGCATGCAGTATACTTATTCCTAAAATACTCGTAAGTTTATATTTACTACGCTTGCATGGCATAAATTTTTGCAAACATTTGGCAAACAGTGAGTTTGTGTAATCTCCCACACAGACGTTTGGCGTACGGATGTCCTGTGGCAGGCTTCGCTGTAATATTTTAAATCCAAGGGCTGGATCGGATTAGAAATTCGGACGTTTTAGTTCGAGGGATAGCAGAAAAATGTAAAAATCTAAAACAATCGAATGTGCAACAAACTTTTGGCTTTGTGTAACACTTAGCATGTGTCCGTAATATCGCATCTATAGCCTGCAGTTTTTTCTAAATATTTCCAGACTTCCTGGAATTTTTTTTGACAAGGGTTGTTCAAACAGGGAAGTCTGGAAGACGTTCTGAATGCGTTTAATTTCAACGTAATACAGCCTCCTACGCTGCAAATGCTCTTTCGTGTTTCCTTGTCCTCTGGTTCAAAGGTCGGTGAGCAGATTGAACGCGCTGACACTGAGATGAGGAGACTGAGTTGTGACGGTTTGTTTACCAGAAACGCCTACAGGGGTAGTGGATGTCAACACTGAGCTAATAGTAAACTTTGACACCTATATATAGAAGCTCTATCCAGTCTACTATTAGATCAGTGCCGGATAGTGGATGTATGTACAACTCATCCAGAAAAGATACATATTCACACGTCTATATGTTTTGCTTGCGTGAAAATTTGAAACAATGAAACCTCAAAAGTTTAGATGTGTTTGGCTCCAGCTTTGCAAATCATGAATTTCTAGTTAATATTTACTAAAGTACATATTTTGCATGTTCGCTTAAATTGATGAAAAAACAAACGGTGCTAGACATGCAGTAATTTCCGCTCGCATTGTACACTCATAAAATATGCAAATGTTTAAATTTTGGAAAGACTCTACGACAAATACCGTCGTCTTGAAAGTTTTGGAGAAATTTAAGGCTTATAATTACACAGTCTTCTAGACTTCAGTTGTGTGACATCTATTTCAAGAAAGCAATATATATACAAGTTTATGACAATGTTTTTTTTCCTAAACCGATAAACAATTTAATGACTTAACCCCATGGGCCATAGCAACCGCATTTCATGGATATGGCATAACTTTTTGCTTAAACTGTTAATCAATTACAATTCTTTTTGTGAAAACTTAACCTTTTTGATAAAAAATACTTCCACGAAATATAAAACAAAATTTAACAACCAATTATGTTGTTTAACAAATGCTTCATGAACGTCCCTAGCTGATATAGTAATATAGACAATTTATACACTTACGACACTGCTATACAATTATGAATGGTCACTGTAAAACTCCTATGTTTTATTCAAACCCAACTCAACAATTATCTATTTTCTAGCCCCTCCTTCGAGTCAATTATTAAGACATGTCCTTAAATGGCAACGTTCGTAAGTGTATTAATATTACATCACAAAAAAAGACAATGATTAAATTCAGAAAGTTGCGTGTGAATTATGGCTGACAATGTCAGTGCGAGTGTTTTTAACGTTTATTCTTCAAAAGAAAAAATTGGTCTGGCTATTTTCTCAGGTGCTATTTTCGTTGTTGCTGTTCCGGCCAATTTATATGTACTACTGTTGACTTGTTTTTGTTCAAGTCGACGAAAACCTTCCGATCTTTTGCAGATGAATATGAATGTGAGTCAATTTTTAACCGCCTTGCTTCAAATTCCTCTTCAACTTTTGGCGCATGTAATGAAACCAGATCTAGTGGCAGATGGTGGGAGTTTATGTCAGATAGTTGGCATTCTGCCGTATCCATTATATGTCGTGACAATTGAAACTATGGTTTTTATGTCGGTAGATAGATTATGTGCGGTCAAATCACCCTTGAAGTACGCAACAAAAATGACTACAAAGCGTTTAAAATGCATTATCCTGTTCACGTGGGCACATGCAACAATTTTCACAATAATCCTCGCGGTTTTTATACAGTTTGGGTATAACCGTACTCGAGGTCAATGCGCAATTGTTGGACAAAATCAAATTGTGATGTTGGCCGTTATCGGGGCAACGCATGTCGCTATACCATTTGTACTGCTTATTGGTTTTTATTATAAGTTGATGAGATTTTTAAAAAGACATAATCGACAAATGTTTCAAGCTGCTGCTGCACAGACCATAGAAGAAGGACGGCGAAGAAATATGCTCAACCAAGGTGAGTGGTTAAAATTGTTCACCTCAATCAAGTGGTGCTGGTGGCTCAGTGAAGAATGTATTTTCCTTTCAAGTGTGAATGTTAGCTACAAGAGTGTTTCTAGTTTGACTCTGCCAGGAGCGGTTCTTTAATACTGGACCTCTAGGATGAATTGAGAGAACTAGTACCAAAAACCACTGGAAAAAAGTGAAATCCATACTACGAAATTTGCAATTGCACCACTAAATCCATAGTATATCCATCCTATTTCCATACTATATCAATACTATGGAAATATACAATTATTATGGATAAGCAAATCCATTCTATTTCCAATAAAGGTCTATACAATTTCCATTCTATGACCTTCTATGGATTTTCAAATTTTTTCCAGTGAACACCAGAGAAATGAAAATGGATAGGGATTCAACTGCCTGAAAAATACAAGTAAAAACGCGAGCGAAGACTCTTCGTTGGGAAGTTAGTGAAGTTTCTTCGGAAGAATAAGGAATAGATTTTGTTGAATATGTGCATGCAATATATAAAAAAACTCTGATCTCATTTTTCTACTTCCTTTTCCAGGTCAAGAACGAAGAGTTGCATCGATGGTGTTCTGGATAATTACCACCTATCTCATCTCATGGATACCACCAAGTGTCACCGTGATCCTACAATATACCCTAAAGTACCCACCACCGATAATGTTTGCACTTGCAGTGCTTACACTTCACGTCAACGAGGCAGCCTGTCCTGTTTTACACCTCGTTTTCATGAAAAATCTGGGAGATCGATTAAAGAAGTTTTGTTTTTGTCGAGATGAAACGTCAATGACGGATATAACCAACTCAAGTGAAGGTTGCCAAAACTAGGAAACATTTTAATATCGATAGGAACCAGAGATTTTAATTCCTAAACAGAATAAATACTTCGCAGAATAAGTCAAAACATTCAGTGACTGGATGGCATGGAAAGCAGTGGGACTTTCTAAACAATGGAAAGACAATGGAACATTCTGATCACTGGATCATGACTGGATGGCATGGAGAACAGTGGGATTTTCTAAACAATGGAAAGACAATGGAACATTCTATCACTGGATCATGACTGTATGGCATGGAGAACAGTGGGACTTTCTAAACAATGGAACATTCTGATCACTGGATCATGACTGGATGGCATGGAGAACAGTGGGACTTTCTAAACAATGAAAAGACAATGGAACAATCTGGTCACTAAATCATGATTGGATATAGAACTATTCTTTTACTAAGTGTCGTGAAAAGGGTATATAACATTTTAAAAAGGGATTGAGCTCCTGTCTAGCTAAAGGTACACATTTTAAGTAAACGGTTAGCGCATTGCTTTGCTCATTTCCGAATGTACTGAGAAATTTTAGGTTGAATAATTCAACTTTTTTGCCTCAATCTATAATCTTTCAAAATTGCGAAGTATATATGCTTTTATTTTATAATTACACATGTTTTCTGTCTATTTTGTTTGCACATAATTTAGTAGTCATGAATATTTTATGAAGGAATATTAAAGTTTACTTAAGATCAATTATGTATCCATTTCTTGAAAATATTGAACATATTGTCAATCAACACATTGGCGCGATTATTCGATGCAAACATCGATCTCTGTGTAAAATCACTTTATATTCTCAAAGACTGTTCGTAATTTACGACACTTCGGTATTGCCTAGGTTTAACAAGTTTATCTCATAAACCTATCTCCTGCATTTTACGATGCTTTTTTGTCGACGTTTTTCTGAACTCGTGAATGTAAGCTCCACATAATGAGAGTAATATAGATTTAAATAATTTAAAACGTGCTTGCTGGGAATGTCTCCAAAGTGCTATAAAATTAACGTGCACAGTGTAAAGATCGGACCACAAAAATCAACTTTTGTTTTGCCATGAAAACTTGGAATACCAAGATTTACCACAAGGAGTCCAACCCGGGTCTTATTACAGCATTTCATATTTAAATATAGTATAGCTCAGTGTTGAAGAGCAGGCCTGCATATGAACACTGAACTATAAAAACCCGGGGTGGGCTCTCTGTGGTTTTACATGCACGGTTCTGGCATGCCTCCATTCCTGCTCATCACTCCATTCACTCTCGACGATGCACCTTCATCACGTGATGGAGCACGTGGTGGACTACCCTCAGGTATCCCATCATTATCCTCATTATCGTCCTGTGTGACGTCATCCTTTGTGACGTCACCAGCTTGTGTGTCGTCGCCATCTCTGACATCATCACCTCTGACGTCATCATCTTGTCTGACGTCATTGTCAGGATTTTGATTTTCCTCTTCATTTCGTCTGTCATCAGTGTCTTGATCATCCTCATTCGTTTGTCCTCCCTCTGTTTGTTTGTCCTCGGCTTCATTGTTTTCCCCCTCGTCCTCTCGGCTCTCCTATATCAAATAATGCAGACGTTAATGCGACATTCTATTCACTGAATCGTGACTGGATGGCATGGAGAACAGTGAGAATTTCAAAACAATGAAAAGACAATGGGACATTCCATTCACTGAATCACGACTGGATGGCACTAATGTTATGCTAAGCGTTATAAAAAGGGCCCATAGTGAAGCCTATACGACAAACCTCGTTTTCATGCTCTCCGCCTTCCTGTTCGATCCCGTCCTCAGCCGGTGGGAGACTAGCACGAGATTGAGCTTCACTCTCCACGAAATTATCCTCGCATTCATAATTCCTTGGATCATACTCCTCCTCATCTTCTTCAGATGTACTCTCCCCGGACCCCTCCCCGGATGATTCGGACTCTTCACTGATCTCCTCCATATTAATCGCCACATCTCCAGGGGGGAGCGGGCTCTCGGATTCATCGTCAGAATCACAGTCCATAATCAGCCTAGGCCCCACGGCAGCCGCGCTAGTAAGAAAGGCACTGGTATCGTTTTGTTCCTGCGCGAACGAAGTTCTTGCCCAATCATATTTAGACATTTTGCGTTCGTCAACTTCCTGTCGTTCCGTAAAGGTCATGGGGAACTCGGGCGGGGTAACTTCTGTTAAAAAGAAAAATTTTTCACGTTATATCTATCCTCACGACGAAGACGGACAAGGAAATTATAGAAGTTTTAATAATGTAAAATTTAGGTTAAGGAATAAAATACATTTCAAGTTTTACTAAGAACGGTTTGTGTAAGTGTAGATACAGTAAACCCCGCCACCTCACCAGTGAATTTTGACTTCAGGCTGAAGTGGTTCTTATATAATCTTACTTCACACTATACTTTTTTCTATTCCACACATTAATAGGGACTGTTGTTGCATAAAACTATTGCTATGACACTAATATGGTTCTCGTTACATATATCTAAATTTAAAAAAAAAATTAAAAACTTGTATTCTTGGTGCTTAATGCCCAAATTTCAGGCTAGTGGTTGGCTAGTGGTTCTTAACCTACTGGTTCTTCTATACGTGGCTTTACTGTAGTGGCAATAATAAGAAAGCTTCGATACAACTACCTGAAAAATACAAGGAGAACTTCGAGATTTCGAGCGAAGGACCTTCGTCGGGAAGTTAGTTTAAGACACTACCTTCAAGAAAGCCACTACCTACACTGGCAGAGACCGTCCAAAATTATACCAGCTTTCAATGAGCTTCAACATAAAAGTTACGACAAACCTTCTTCTTCCTCTTCGACCACTGGCTCTTCTATCTTTGGTTTCACTTTATTACTATTAAACTGCGTGTATTTCTTCTTTCTCAAATACCACGAGTGAGCACAACATGTTCCACAGATACAAGTGACGACCACAAGAAGTATGGCTGCAACAGCAGCCATAAATGGCGTATAATCTATGGTCAATGACTGAATCTCTTCAGTTGTCACAGGCGGTGTAGTCGCCGTTTTCCGGATGTAGTATAGTGAGACAATACTTGTCGGGATCGTCAGGTTATAGTTAGCGCTGATTCCCAATGTCAGTGGATACACTAAGTTGTTCTCTACTGGAACTTTAAATGAATCTGATCTGATCAAATCCGAGAATTCTAAAAGTTCAGCATTCAATGTTCCGTTTGTTCCGTCAGGAGAGAGCAGAGTAAAGTTGACGACGATACTCCCACAGTTGGCCACCATGTTGATGATGTGGTCCACACTGATGTTCAAAGCAAGTACAATGCTGTATCTGGTCGAGTTAAGAAAGTCAGCTTTGGTTGTTGCGTTGGAAAGAATCGTACAATCTGCGTCGATGCTGAGCGAAAGATGCGCAAGGGAACCAGTGTATGGAGTAGGATAAACACCGCCACCGCCGCCAGGATTTCCTCCAACATTTCCACCTACGACAAAAGACAACAGTTTTGAGCTGAATAAAACAACCATGACAAAACTTGGTAGATAGGGATGAAACTATCTGAAAAAGTCAAGTTTCGAGCGAAGGCTCTGGATTTCAGTAAGCTTGACAGGGCTGCGTACACTGCCAAACAATTTGACTGGAAAACTTGAGTGAAACAATATACCCACACGGACTCAAAATGTAGAGTAAAATTACTCAAATTTATATGAGCAAATTCACTCAGTTTTTTTAGTAAAGTGAAATTTACTGTTCATAAATTTGGGTAATTTTACTCCGAAATTTGGAGTCACTGTGCGCATGAGCACGTTATTTCTGAGCCATTAATCAGGGATTTGTGTGGTGTATAGATAAACCAGACTAAAATAGCATAGAAGACGTTTCATTACCGCCATAATTCCAGTTCCAAGGTGAAGAACCATTATAATCAGAAGAATCATTATAGTGGACATACACTGTGTAGTAACCAAGAGCCGAGCAGTTGCATTGAACAAAAGACGTTTGGTTATCCTGTTTGAGAATTTGGTTGGTTGTACAAGATGAAATTGACCATTGTGAAGTATGGAGTGATCGGGTAACACACTAGAACAATTAAAGATAGATATTGGATCAATTGAAACGTGTTACAAAATTGTCATTCACAACTTGTTGACAAATTGTTCAAACAACTTGTTATGGTCCTGCAATTCAACAAATTGTTGAATTGCAGGACGATAACAAGTTGTTGGAAGTTTGTTGAGCTCACCAACCTTGTAGCAAGTTCTCAACAAGTTGTTGTCAACACACTAGGAACAAGCAGTGGGGACACATCCTGTTTGATAAGTTGTTCGAACAGCATTGCAATAAGTCTGCTGCAGATTGCTATAACTTGTGCGTTTTACGTGTGCACTTTACATCACATGCAGGTATGTAGGTGGGTTTCACAAACCACTATCATGCAGCAGATGGTGGTCAACATACAGGCTGCAGTTATCAGAGAGAATGTTAATTCTTATATGGCGGGCTGACCATCTATCACTGGAAAAATTTTGAAAATCCATAGAATGGAAATTGTATGGACCTTCATTGGAAATAGAATGGATTTTTGATTATCCATAATGATTGTATATTTCCATGCTATGGATATAGTATTGAAATAGTATGGATATACTATGGATTTAGTGGTGCAATTGCAAATCTCATAGTATGGATTTCACATTTTCAGTGTATCATGAAGGCTACTGATATGGTTGCCTTGTATTTGAAAGCAAGAATAGAATTAAGAGACAAATTGTGTTGTTCCTATAGTACCAACATTTCTGACGTTGACCATACGTCTATAACAAAAGTAAAACACTAGTATCCACTTACACTCAACGTATAAGGACGGGAAGTATTTGGTAACCTCACTAAAGGCATCTGCAAATGAACTGCTTCGCCTTGGCTAAAATTGACAAAACTCATGTCCCCATCAATGATAGACAAAGACAGCACATCAGACAATCTGAATGGGTTTTGCTGCGTTACTTGGAAATCGTCAGCAAAACGTGATCCAGCCAAACATGTCATATTCTCGACCGTCTTGTTGTTCAGCACAAATTTTGCATTGGGCGAGGTACTTGTGAGGTTAGGACAATGTAAGCAAGGAAATTGGAGCACACTGTTCTTTAAACTGCTATAGTTTGTAACTCTGACATGTAGTGAAGCCAATGAAGTGTTTGCTGTAGAGGTCTTGTACTCTGTTTCGTTGAGGTTTAGGCAGAGTCCAAGTTCAGACTCGTGAACTTTCGCCAAAAATTCTCTTCCCATTGTTAGGTTTAGGGGTTTGGAATAGGAATTGAGTAAGGCAGTAACCTTGAGAAATAAAAAAAATTATTTATTGGAAATTTTGTTAAGGTAAGAATATAATCTGATGGAAATACGGATGTAGAGGATATAGTAAATTTTGCTGAATTCAAAGCGTTTTGTTTTGCAAAGTGTACAAATCTGCATGGATCATTTAAGAATTTGTTATCATTTAAAGCGTGTTTTTCAGTCCAAGCTAAACGCAATGTAGTGCAGCTAGTGCCATAGCGTTTTTGTTTGTGTCGAAGTTATTAGGTGTACACACAGGAAACAATACGCTATACGTTGCAGTAAGACACGTCTGGAATAGAATACATGCAGACTTAATTCATACCTCAGAGCTTGTCTGTACTGTTTGCGCATTTGAGCTTGACTGTAGACAACAAAACGCTATAAAAATTAAAATGAAGCATCATTATTATATGATCGAAAAATAATAATTAAATATATATTTATTGCTTTATACATTCATGGTGCCTTAGTAACAGGACAAAAGGTTTGTCTCATTTATTAGCTATAGATTTATCACGCATGCCTCTAGAAAACTCTTACTTTGCTATGCAACAAATTTACGTCAAATTTATGTTTCTACTTTTTTTAAAATATCATTTAAGACGTTCAGTACAGCATACAGATATATGATATCTTATAAAATTATGCATATATAGTCAAAATCCTTACCTGCAAGAAATGGCACAAAAAAGATACATGGATTCTTTGCCATAGCTTGTGCAAATTCTCTATAGCACGATTTAACTGTATTTAAGTCTTAAAAGCAGCTCCATTTTTAAACAATTTCAGGATGTTTGCGCCATTTTTTACCCAGTTTCCACAACATTAGGCAAAATATTGTCTTGAAACAGGCTCGGAATCGATTAATATTTAATAGGCAATTTAGGCAAGGTTAATCACAAAACGGCCAAACAACAGCTAAAGTGATAAATGTAGCTGAAAGATCAGGTTTTGTACGTTAGCGAGTTTAAACAGAGACCTGGATGTCTTAAACTGAGAGAAAATAACATAAAAATTCGTCTTAAAAACAACGAAATAAAGTCTTCTGTGCATGAAATGGCACCTGTTAAACTACGGAATGTTTTGCATGTCGAAGTTGTGGTTATGACGAAGTTTCAAAACAGGTAAATGTCTGCTTAAAATTCCAGGTGGCATGGACACGACCTCAGGTAAGCAATATGAATTAGTTAATATTATATAACTTGAAAGGGCCCCAGCTATAATTCCGTTTTATATTGATTGATAATTTCATACATTGAATTATACGTAACAAGTAGTACATGATAGGATTTTATTACATATTTGTCAACAGCAGTTTGGATCCAGCCCAGGCATATACAAATATTCTAAACATTTTATGTCAACGAATTCCCCCATTTTAGTTTTCATTATAATTGCATTCATTCATTCATTCATTAATTCATTCATTCAAAATAACGTCTCCTAATTTCATATTTCTAAACTCATACAGTAGAAAGTAGTCTTCCATTGCTATGAAGAGCACAAAATGCAGTTGAATCCGTTTTCATTAAAGGTTAATTCTTATATACTTAGCTTAGTTTCTATAACTACAAATAGTTTAATGTATGCATGGCAAACTATTTGGAAACCAGTTTTAGATCAGTTTTCCTATTTAGAGATTGGAAGCATTTTCATTTACTATTTCTTGTGGATAGCAACCCAGTCTGACATTGATTTAGCTCAACACCTATCACGGTTCTAAAATCTTTCTACTAATGTTGTTTTGAAATATTTCTTCGATAGTTCTCTCATATCCAAGATAATTTACATCTTTTAAATGTTCAATTGTTCACATATCTGCATGCAGATACAGCAACCGGTGCAGCAAACCAGTTTTACTGGTTTTGCTTATTATTACAAGTTTTGATGAAAGTATCTCAAGCCGACAGCACGCCTCGAGGGACAGCGCCGTTGTTAATCGATGTTCAATGCCGCAACACAGTTCCACACCATCAAAACCGCGCTCCATTCATAGAATTCCGTTCCAATCAATGATAAAGAATATTTTAAACATCCTACCTTCCTTCGCATAGTGCAGTATCATACCTCTTGCCTCTGACATTATATTTAATTACAGTGCAATGTTATCCTTTCTCATGAATATTCTCCCGTTGCAGAATAGTTGCAGTATAATTCCACCCTTTCCCATCGTTGTACACTAAACACACCACACATTAAGGATTCACCTCTCATGCCATCTTAGACAGAGCTTCGTTCATGCTTGACACGTGGTCAGGACAAAATGACATCAGAACTGAGTCAAACTCTTGAGGATTTCGTTGTCTGATTGTGTTCAACATTTGCTGCAACGATTGACGCGTTTCTGATAGGAAAATTTGAAAAATTAAGGGTTAAACAAAGAAAAGGCCCAGTTTAAAGGGCATTCAACTGTTCTCCCTAGAAGTCCAGTAACAATCATCTCTTATTGATCCAGTGTTACTACAGGAGGAAGCCAAACTAAACTAACTTTATTTATACTGAATAGTTCTATCAGTTTTAAACTGTTCTCCCTAGAAGTCCAGTACGAGTCATCTCTTATTGATCCAGTGTTACTACAACAGGAAACCTAAACTAATTTTATTTACACTGAATAGCTCTATCAGTTCTAAACTGTTCTCCCTAGAAGTCCAGTACGAGTCATCTCTTATTGATCCAGTGTTACTACAACAGGAAACCTAAACTAAACTAACTTTATTTATACTGGATAGCTCTATCAGTTCTAAACTGTTCTCCCTAGAGGTCCAGTAAGGGTCATCTCTTATTGATCCAGTGTTACTACAGGAGGAAAGCAAAACTATTAACTTTATTTATACTGGATATAGTTCTATCTATGGATATTTGTATACCTTCTGTTATCGTGGTGGTGGGGATCACTTGAGCGACGATTTTAATTATTGGAATAATATTTTGAGTCACCTGGTAAATAAAAAATATTGTGGTGTCTAAATTTCCTGATATACAAAGCATCATCAGAAATAAGGAAAAACAAATGCCAGTACAATACCTGGGGATGCTCGCTGTTGAACAGTTGAAGAATGCACGAGTACACTGTTTTGTTCTCTTCAAAATCAGCTTTCAATGGAAGACACTGGAGTAATAGTGGAAACGTCTAAAAGTTAAAGAAATTTTCTGTTAATGGGATGTTGGTTGAAATGGCGAGAAGATGTGCTGGGATTTCCACTGTAAAAAGACCATTGCACTGACGTCACAAATCCTTAGAGTGTCCTCCAGATGCTCCCTAACAATATCTGTTCGGGTACAACAACCACATACAGCGCAAAAATTAACCAATTTAATGCAAAATTATTATAAAGTTTTACAAAATTTGCTTTGTTTACAAAATATGCATAGATTGCTAATTTGTCCTCCAGATGCATCGTCACCGGCGCTGTGACGTCATGTGCAATGGGTCTATAGGACCACTAAAGATCGACCTTATTGGACTTCTAGGTAGCAGACTTGAGCAGTTTAGAACTGATAAAACTATCCAGTATAAAGTTAGTTTAGGTTTCCTTTTGTAGTAACACTGTGAATAAGGGATGATCCTTACTGGACCCCTAGGGAGAACAGTTTAGAACTGATAGAACTATCCAGTATGAAGTTAGTTTAGTTTAGGTTTCCTCCTGTAGTAACACTGGATCAATAAGAGATGATCCTTACTGGACCCCTAGGGAGAACAGTTTAGAACTGATAGAACTATCCAGTATAAATAAAGTTCGTTTAGTTTAGGTTTCCTCCTGTAGTAACACTGGATCAATAAGAGATGATCCTTACTGGACCCCTAGGGAGAACAGTTTAGAACTGATAGAACTATCCAGTATAAAGTTAGTTTAGTTTAGGTTTCCTCCTGGAGTAACACCGGAGCAATAAGAGATAGCACTTATTGCATCACTAGGGAGAACAGTTTGGGAGTGATTGAGCTATATCTCATATATAATTCTTCAATTGAATTCACACCTGTTCCATCGGGACTTTACTGATATTGGCGAGGATCATGCGACACACAGCAGCACATATATTATCAACAACACGAACTTCATGCTCTCGTTTCAACAAGAAAAATAATGCTTCTAAAATTTGTGGATAATGTCTAAAATACTGCGTCAAGGCAAAAAGAACGAAACACAAAAAGGTTGACCCAGATTATCTGGCCAAACTCTTCAGATAAAAAATTCTAACATATTTGAATGTTGAGAAACGGGCAAAGTTGGTCAGTAGTATAAAAAACAGACATGGTAAATATTGAAGTTTTCCCGCCTCCCTCTACACAAAAGCCCCCCTCCCCGTGCCCATCCTGCTGATGAAATGAAGGATACACATAGACAGGCTCGCCACCAGATGCCGCTAACACTCCGAGAGCGTAGGTACAGTTGCCACGCACCTCGCCATCTTCATCGTTCAAAACTTTCATCAAGACAGGATAAAGATGTGGGACAAATGGAATGATACTCGAGTCCATCGCTAAAATAATCTGTGGACAAAAAAACAAGATAATGATAAATTTAAAATGGAAATTGGTTCCACAATCTGTGCTAGAAAATGTCCGGCCGTGCCACTAAAAGAACACTCGAATCTTTAATAATATTTCAGCATACCTCTGCAACCGTTCCCACTGAAAAAGATCGATCTGAAACTGATGCGGTAGGTTTCTAAGGAGGAAAAGAAAAATATTTTTTTTAAAAAATAGAAAAGGATTACACCTTCAGTTATCGGGCGGCTGTTTTCGCAGGCTAGTTTACCTACATGTAGTTATACCTGAGGTTTTCCTGAAATACTTATGTTTTATGAAACTTGGAAAAACATTTTATTCTGCTGGATAGTGACAACAGCAAAATATAAATATTTCTCGAACTTAAAGGCACAGTTCAGCCTTTTGAATGATGGTTTTTAAGGCAATTAAGCATAGTTCAAGATCAGCAAACTCAATGTTTTTAACATTTTAAAACATTTTTATTGTTAAAAACATTGAGTTTGCTGATCTTGAATTATGCATAATTGATTTTCCTAGTTAGTTTTTTCAATTAAAAGGACTGAAATGCGCCTTAAAAACCATCATTCAAAAGGCTGAACTGCTTTTAAATATTGTCTAGGACCAAAATGCGAATGAGGAGATGAATTATGAATGGCAATCCTGGGCATCTCAGTGACATACGTTTGGAGTAGAAATATCGTACCAAAAATCACCACTATATAAATAATAAGCCTTAAAACTTACCATACGTTTAAGAAACCATGGTAACAAGCTAGCAAAATACGCCACAAACTCCTGCCCAGGCGCCGCCAAGGCCAACTGCGGTATGACGTCACCAGCATGTTCCATCACGGAGGCATCGAGCTCAGCTTGTTCTTCTTGCTCACCTTCAATGTCGTCGTCATCGTTGTCTTGACAACGGGTCTGCAGATACACATACGTACTTTATTACTACTTAGGCTTGCAGGAAATACTACAGAAGATTATGAAAGCTTCGGATTGATAGGGTCGAAGTTAGTGGGGACAAAGTTGTCCTTGTATTTTTCTGGTAATTGCATCCCATTCTTGTACCCAGAGCCCTTCTTACGCGCGGTGCGACGAGGGACTCTGGCCAAATCCAAAACTGGATACCATAAAAACATGGTAAAAGAATATATCCAGTATTAGAACAATAACCTTCGTTGTAGCCAATCAGATGCCAGTTTGATATGGATTTGGCC